TCCAAAGCCCGCATTGCTTTTTTTTCCCGCCACATCACATTGTCGACTCATAGTCATCCTGCGGTCTACAAGGACCCCTAGGTCCTTCTCCTCTTCTGTTACTTCTAACCAATGTGTCCCCATCTTGTAACTAAAATTGTTATTAGTCATCCCCAAGTGCATCACCTTACACTGGGACTGAAGTTCAAATTAGTCCAACCTGGGAAAACCCTCTGGCTTTCTCATGAGCCATCCTTGGCTGTTGTCTTAAAATTACTCCAGCCATTATTACTGACTTTGGAAAGTATCTTCCAAGATGGGATGGATCTAAGTAGTGAGGCTGGGGGATTACTTTTGCTACTATGTTTAGAGAAGACTATTACCATTCTCTCTCTCTTGTAAGTCTACTGTTGAAACCACTTGGGTCATTAAACAATGCCATCCAGGTATCTGCTACAACACTAGTAGATCTTTGGATCAAAGATCAAAGTAGCTTGTTTTGCTGGACAATCAGAGAGATATCCATTGAAAAAGTACTGGAAGAAGCAAAGACTTCACTCCAGAAGTTGACTAATGAAGGCATTTATTTTGAATCCTTAAGTGAAGGGACAAGAAGTATTTGTTAAGACAATTGAAAAAGTACAGACTTGATTCTTAAAAATCTATAACAGCGACTTCTAGATTCTACTCAACTACGTAGCTTTTACAGATCCCTGTCCTATAAAACACTAACAGTTGAGTGAAGTGAGACACTACCAGCAATGGGGATGCCATGTGCTCAGAAAAGAATAGAAAATTTGAACACTGAGTGCAATATCATACGACGAATTAATGAAGATTTTACTTCAACTTCTTTTTTATCATCACTAGTGGCTCGACCCAATCTTTATGCTATATTTCCTGAGATGAAAGAAGTAGGAATTCATCTCTTGCTACTCCCAGTCACAACAGCTACAGTTGAGTGTTCTTTTTCCATCATTACATAGAATTTTGTGTTCTGAAAGAAGTCATCTTCCTGATCATGTGAATGAACTAATGAGCATATCAACTGAAAGAATGGAAGTACTGGACACATGATGAACACGTTGCATTCAAGAAGTTCATTAACAGAGTTGTGCAAAATTATAACAAGAAACCAAGAAGGATGTAGATGTAGAGCTTCATAGAAGGCTTGAGTAGCCAAATTTAGTTTGTGTGATTTCAATCATGAAACAGCTTTCAGTTTTTACTATGATGCCATACAGCCCACCTTCACCCTCACAGTCTTACCCCTCATCGGCCTCTCCCATAAATTCAAACACACACACACACATTTCAATTCCTGGGGAAAACACTGTACACAGGTGTCCTGAACCTCCCCCCACACACCTGCAACCCCCCCGCACCCCAAGGTGGCCTCTATCCCTCACCCTAAGGTACAAAGTTGCCCTGGACCATCCCAAATGCACAACCCTGCTACCCCACGATGCTCCAAACCTTCCCCCCAAATGCCCATCACCCCCCACCCTAGATACAAGGGGGCCTTGAATCCCCCCCACATACCCTTCAAACCCCCCCAACATACAAGCTGCCCTGCACACCCCCCACATGCCCTGCACGTACCCGCCGCCACAGTGCCCTGAACCCCCCCTCCCCGGCGTCCCACAACCCCAACCACACTCCGCCCCCGAGCCGTGCAGGTGGAGCAAAGGCTGGGGAGCTAAGAACGCAGTACGGGCGACCCCGAGACACACAAAATTAACCCATCATTTCTATGGGCTTCACTGCCCGGCAACCCGAGAAGCAGGCTCGGGCGGGCGGGGACTAGCGCCTACCTGGGCAGGTGCAGCGACGCCTCGTAGCGGCCGAAGGCGCCCAGCGGGCTGGGGGTGAAGAGCAGCCCGCCCAGGTCGAACAGCACCAGCCGCCTCGCCATGACCGCCGCCTGAGCCGCTCTGGGGAGCCGTGGCCCCTCTATGGGGGGGGTATAGAGCACCGGGCCACGCCCATCAGCGCCGCCTGGCCACGCCCCTTCACGGGCCACGCCCCTTTTGGCACTCCAGCCCCGCCTCGAGAGCCAGGCTCCTCTGGGTCCTAGAGCCCGTTGCAGGCGCCCTGGTCTCAGGAGCTGAGACCCTGCCCCGTGGGTGGTTTGGTGCAGTGACATCACAGCAGTATAAGCCCTGGCAGGGGGCGGGGCTCCTTAGCAGGGCACGTGCATGGGGGCAAATGGGGCAGAGGCATGTAAGGGGCGATGGGGCTTGCTGGGCTGAAAGGCCTGTTGGTGGGAAGGGCTGGGGTTAAGCTGCCCAGGCCAGCGCAGGCAGAGCATAAGACCGGCCGTACTGGGTCAGACCAAAGGTCCATCTAGCCCAGTAGCCTGTCTTCCGGCAGTGACCAATGCCAGCTGCCCCAGAGAGAATGAACAGAATGTGCAATGGCCAAGAGCATGGAGACACCCAGAGCATGGGGCTGCATCCTTGACCATCTTGGCTAATAGTCCTCAATGGACGTATCTACTTCTTTTTTTCACCCCCTTATAGTTTTGGCCTTCACAACATCCCCTGGCAAGGAGTTCCACAGGTTGCCTGTGCGTTGTGTGAAGAAATACTTCCTTTTGTTTGTTTTAAATCTGCTGCCCGTTAATTCGGCCTAAGAAGAGAAGCCTCATCAGATAGCCCAAGGCCTTGTGGGAGTGGTTAGATAACCACACAGGTCCAGTGTACCCCAGTGTTCTGCAAGAAGGGAACTGTGGGAGCTTTGGTAGTTTGGTTGCTATGCAGCATCTAAGCAGCTGGACCCCATTTATGGATAGGAATTATTAAAAAATAATGTAAATCGTGAATATTAATGCTTAATTATGGACACTCTCAAGGCCACATATGGATAGAGGCAGCTATTGACCTCATTATAATCAAGGTAAACGATCAGATCTGGTGTATTCTCGGCTCTCTATGAGCTGTGGCGCAAACCTAGTATTATTGCCATAAGGAAGGGTATAAAATACTGTGCCCAGTTCCTGGGTTTGTCAGGTCCTTGAGCCAGTGTAAACTGAATCAGGACCTTTCTTCTGATGGGCTCCACTTACTTTCCCCTTCTATTGTTGTTTCCAATGGTCTCCACAACTTGTATGAGCAATGCAGGGATCCACTTTACTGCACTTGTCTAAGTGTATTGATCCTTTCCTAGGATTTCAGTTAGAATATCAGGGTTGGAAGGGACCTCAGAAAAAAATCATCTAGTACAACCCCCTGCTCAAAGCAGGACCAGTACCCAGACAGATTTTTGCCCCAGATCCCTAAATGGCCCCCTCAAGGATTGAACTCATAACCCTGAGTTTAGCAGGCCAATGCTCAAACCACTGAGCTATCCCTCCCCCAACATTAGCTGGATTTGTAGTAAATAATGTTTCTCTGTTTGTTTCAGCAAATCCCATGTTCTCAGTTAAGTAGTCCCCTAGGAAAAGAAGCTGTTAGCAGATAGTGCCTGTTGCACGCCAATACATAATCTTATAAGTGTAATAATTGTTCAGGCTGTGCCGGCCTGGGGGCGGGGCCACACACCGTCCCGGGGAAGATAAGAATGAGTCCCACGGGGATGCAGGATATGATAGCCCCTCCCCACCAGGGAACCCCATGAGGTCACCCCCCCCTCCCATCCACATGGGTAGTGACTTCTCCAGGACACTAGGGTCCCCCACACTGCCCCCCCCTCCACAGGGCCACAGTCATCACCCAGGACACTGGGATCCCCCACACACAGCACTCCTCCATTCACATCAATGAGCCCCCCAAGACACTGAGATCCCCTCTACACAGCCCTCTCCATCCACAAGGGCAGCAGCTACCCCCCCCCACCTCCGGACACCGGGATCCCCACACAGCACTCCCCTATCCATAAAGACAGGGACTCCCCCCAGGGCACCAGGGTCCCCACACACAGCACCAATCCATCCACAGGGCCACAAGGCCACCCCAGGACACCAGATAACACAGCACAGAGCCCCAACCACAGGGGCAGTGACTCCCCTTAGGACACCGGGGTCCCCATACAGCCCCCCCATCCACAGGGACAGAGATCCCCCCCGCAGGATCTCTTTCGACCTGCATCTAAAGAGCAACAGCACAAATACACAACCCTAGTTCCACACTGCACTCCATGCCGAGCAGCTGTTCCTATTGGACTCTTAACGATCAATGAACAGGGCAACCAGGAGACCTGGGCTCTATTCCCATCTCTGTCCTGCTTCTCTTGTGCAAGTCCCACCCTCTCCCTTTGCTTCATCTTCTTCGGCTGTAAAGCGGGGATTATGTTGTTCCCCTGCCTTTGTGAAGTGCTTCGAGATTTGTGGAAGAAACGCCCTGAGTCAGCGCTAAGTCCTGTTATTAGTACTGGCTGAAATCCGGAATTCCTGTGCCTTGGGAAATTCAGAAAGTAAACATGAAACTCATGGGCACGAAAGCGCACAATTGTGAAACTTCCCATCCAACGGGAGAACTGAGGAGTGGGCGGGTGGGTGTGAAATGTTCACTTCAAAAAATCGAAATGACATGCCATTGTGACCTCTTCTAAATGAAATTGACAAGGCTCCCCGAGCTGCCCAAATTGCTGGCCGCCTGTTGGGTGGGCCAGAAATCCTGAGAGCCCCGACTTCAGGCTCCGCCGTAGGTGGCAAGGCAGATGACCTAGAAGGAAACCAGGCTGGCTTCCCTTGGAAAAACCTTCCATTAGAAAACGTCCAGTTAGCTCCATTTATTACTGTGCATCGGGAGAGTTAGCAAAGGAGAGGACCTGTTAGATCAATGCAGCCCAGGACACTGCCCTCCAACAATACGGTTGATCTTAGACTAAGGGGGCTCTGCGCCTAGGGGCCAGATTCCCAACTGGAGTAAACTGACATCAATTGACATCAATGCAGCCAGGCTCATTTACACCAGCTGAGGATCTAGCCCGTAGTGAATTGGAGCTAATACCTGCTGAAAGAACGAGGAGTCCTTGTGGCACCTGAGAGACTAACAAATGTATTTGGAGATAAGCTTTCGTGGGCTAGAACCCACTTCATCAGATGCACGCAGCGGAAAATATACAGTAGGAAGATATATATACTCAGAGAACATGAACAAATGGGTGTTGCCATACCAACTATAACTAGAGTAATCAATTCAGGTGGGCGATTATCAGCAGGAGAAAAAAAACCTTTTGTAGTGATAATCTGGATGGCCCATTTCCAACAGTTGACAAGAAGGTGTGAGTAAGAGTAGGGGGGAAAAAATTAGCACGAGGAAATAGTTTTTACTTTGTGTAATGACCCATCCACTCCCAGTTTTTATTCAAGCCTAATTGAATGGTGTCCAGTCTGCAAATAAATTCCAATTCAGCAGTCTCTCGTTGGAGTCTGTTTTTGAGGGTTTTTTGGTGGAGTATTGCCACGTTGAGGTCTGTAATTGAGTGACCAGGGAGGTTGAAGTGTTCGCCGACTGGTTTTTGAACGTTATAATTCTTGACATCTGATTGGTGTCCATTTAGTCTATACTTGCTGAGCCATTGGAGTGTGTAGAGAGCACTGGGGTGACGTGTTTTCATTTCCGTGGCGATGGGCAGCTGCCTTTTAGAGCAGTTGTAGCTTGCGCGCAGCTCCCCAGCAGCGGTCCGGACGTGAAGAAACAAGACATGGTGCATGGTGGCTCAAGCTATCCTGGATACTGCTTTTCCAAGTCTTGCTCCCTCCAGCTATTCCCCTGCCTGGGCCATTTTGACGCACAATGCTATTTACATCCACCGAGCTGGACAGCAGGTCAGGACCATTCAGGGAAGATCACCAGCTCCTCTTCCCTGTTCAAAAGCCGGGTTCACTCACACTGGTGGAAGAGAGACCGATTTGTCCCTCCATATCTTCCCAGGGATCTGCAGCTTCCTCTTCCCCTTCGAATGAAGGCTTTGTGGGTCAGGCCTTAGCGTTCCTCAGATGTGAAGTAAGTCTAAAGCACGCGCCAGTGCTGGGGAGAAAGCCCCCGTTCAGTCTGATGCTATTCACACTGACGTGCTGCCTTCCAGCACACACTCACTGACCCCCTTTCCGATGCCAAGGCCAGGGCGTGGGACAGGAAAACACCCCGCGTGAGCCCCGGGGTGGGGGAGTGCTTTGGCTGTATGGCATAGAAAGGAAACCAGACGGGGCGGGGGGGTCCTGGCTGAGCTATGTCCAGTCTCCCTTCTATCTTGGTTCTGGAGCAACTGACCTGGGGAGAAAGGCTGTGTTTGGATCCACTGGAGGATAACAGCGGGTGAGCTCAGACGCAGAGGCCCTTGCCATGGTGAGTCGGAAATCTTTGATCTGCTTGGCTTCTTCTTGAGGGCGGGGAGGAGGGAGACTCAGAGGAGTGGATTTGACTGCCATCCCCTCTTCTTTCCATTGGGGTCCAGGTGGGCAGAAACCTCTGGTCTCATTATTAGAGGAGTGAATGCATTCACAAGCTGACTCCCCGCCACCCTCCATCAGTTCAGAAGCCCGGGTATTCGTTGCTCAACACAGAGAGGCAGGATTGCCAGGGCATAGCGCTGGCAGCTTGGCATCAGGAATCCTGACTCTCTTCGCAACGGAGCGATCTAAGGCTGGAGAAACCTGTGAGGGGCTAAGGCCCAGATTCACAAAGGTATTTAGGTGCCTAAGTCCCCAAATCAATGGGAGTGAGGTACCTAATTAAATACCTTTGGAGAACAGGATGTAAGCGAGCACGGATGCAAAAAGGGCTTCCTCGAGGAGCTGGCCTGTTCCGAAGCAGTGAGTTACATCTGGCAGGAACAAGGGAGGATTTGGAGAACCTGAGTAAGGGACACTCCAAATCCACGTAAACAGGTTGACTGTCGTACGGCGCCGTCCCTATCCACGCCCTCGCTCTCTGCCAGCCAGCTAATGGGGCACGTCCGATGAATCGAAAGCCACAGCAGGTGCGATATCTGACTAAATAAACACAGGTGATG